GGCGTGGCTCTGACAGGACAGGGAGCTCAGGTGGGTAGGGGTGGGCGGGGCTCTGACAGGACAGGGAGCTCAGGTGGGTAGGGGTGGGAGTGAGTGTGACAGAACAGGGAGCTCAGGTGGACAGGAGTGGGTGTGGCTATGACCAGGACAGGGAGTCAGGTGGGCAGGGTGGGCATGGCTCTGACAGGACAGGGAGTCAGGTGGACAGGAGTGGGCGTGGCTCTGACAGGCAGGGAGTCAGGTAGGCAGGGTGGGCGTGGCTCTACAGGACAGGGAGTCAGGTGGACAGGAGTGGGCGTGGCTCTGACAGGCAGGGAGTCAGGTGGACAGGAGTGGGCGTGGCTCTGACAGGACAGGGAGTCAGGTGGGCACTGGTCCGGGAGGCTTTGATGGGATAGGGAGAACTTTGTGCTGAAGAAACAGTTCTCTCTGGTAGCGATAACGGTTACATCTTGCTGTAAATGTGATAAAACGACAGCGATCTTGCACACACCCTTCTCATACTGACTTCTTGTGTTTGATGTGTTGCCATCAAGTGAGACACAACCATGAGGGAACAGTGGATCAAAGGCACACAGGTGATTGACCTCTCTGGGCTGTTTTTGAACTTTGTATGAATCTGCATCACAGCGAGCTCAGCGGCCCTCTTTGTGGGCCAACCCACAAGCAAGACTCACGGGACTGAGCCCAGGTCACCTCCTGCCTGACCTCTGCACCCCATCTCCTCTAGTTGGCTTCCAGCATCTCCAACCTGCTGCCCTGCAACCCCTGGCCAGACAGCAGGATGTGAGTCTAGCTCAGGCAGGGCCACTAGGCCACAGTGAGGGTCCTGATGACCTCGGCTCCCAAGACACACCCCAAAGGAAGTACCAGGACTCATCCCTATGACCGGAATGCCTTGGGGTTCCACCTAGGAGAGCCTCTGACCCTTTCCACCCCCAGGGGAAGCCAGAGGGAAGACTGGCTTGGAGGCCAGGCGGGCTCAGCATGCCTTGGAAGCCCTTCCCAGGCCTGCCCACTTCCCCAGGCTCTCACCTCTGTCATCTGAGGTCTCCTTGTCTTTGACGCAGCCACGACGCTGACGTGGCATTTTGTGCACCGCAGGCAGAGCTCCTGGGAAGAGGGCTGAGGAGCAGGTGGCCTGAGCTGGAACTCTGCACTCACTCAGCAGCTGGGGCCCTCAGGCAGAAGATGTCACCTCCCCAAGTCTTCTAGGTGTCAGCAGGGCCTCCCCCTAGAAAATCAAGCAGCTGATTTGTGGAGAGCGCTTGGCAGAGACAGGATCGTGGACTGCAGGGCCTGGGACTTGGAGAGGGTCTCTTCTCTCTAAGCAAAAGGTGGAAAAAATGTGTGAATGCTGCTGGCACCCAGATGAAGTAATTCTTGTCAGACTCAGACAGAATGAGAGCCAGTAAGTTACCGAGAACTCTTCAAGGCCGTGGCCAGCGAAGTACTGAGGTAAGTACTTTCTAGAGGACTTTCTAAAGCCCACAAGAAGTTTCCTCTTGCTGTACACATACCCCGTGCATTGCAAGCCTTGCCCAAATGCACAGAATCCCATAACCAAGTTTATCTTTAACATCCTAAGATGCTCTGGACAGAACACTTGCTCACAATGGCACCTCCTCCAACTCTCACCTCAGGTCTCTGACCAGGGCACTCTGTATCCAAGTAGCTCATGTAAAGTTCTCCCTTTTCTGCTTATAAAAATTCCCCTTGCTTCAACCTTTAATATGTCCACAAGTTACTGTGGCATATGCCTTCCTTCTGCAATGTGCTGCAATTCCCAAACAAATGCCATTATCTTTGGAGACTCTCAGATTGTTATTAAGCTGACAATTATGCATGTAATCTGGCTCTGAAGGGGAAGCTCATTTTACTGCACATCAAGTCATCCTCTAGTGCCTAGAATATAGACAGTGCTCAGTGAAGGCAGCTCCTAGTGAGCATTCAAATTCCCGTCTTTCTGACCCTGTTCTACAATGATGATGTTGGTTAGGGTGTGCTCAGTGGTAGAGCTCTTGTCAAGCATTCACCGGACCCTGGGTTAGATTCCTGGAGCCACAAGCAAACAAACAAAACAGACTTAAGAAACTAAAGTGACAGACAACATAGTAGCTCAGAACAAGACAGTGCAGACTTAAGAGGCTCAACTTCAGACCCAGTTCTGTTCCTGCTATGTTTCGAATGTGGTTTGTCCTCCCCAAACTCATGCAGGATATTTTTTTTTTTGCACAATACCTTTATTTTATTTATTTATTTTTATGTGGTGCTGAGGATCAAACCTAGTGCTTCACATGTGCTAGGCAAGTGCTCTCCCACTGAGCCCCAGCCCCAGCCCTCATGCAGGATTTTGAGCCTCAAAGTCTTAGGGTAATTATATCAAGAGAGTAGAAACTTAAGCTGACCATAGTGTTTAATGATGAGTCCTTTGGGAAGTGATTAGAAGATTAGGTCATTAGGTTGGAGCCCCTAAGATTGAGCCCTTTTCAAGGGGAGGGAGAGAGACCACACAGAGACACACAGGCATTCCAAACATGATCCATGCAGCCAAGGGGGCCTCCCAAGAGGTGCACCATGCTTTTGGGATGTCCCCCTCCCTAACTCTGGGCCAAAATGAGCCTCTTTGCTGTATCATCGACTGTAGGTATTTTACTATGATAAAGGAAAAGGGGCTGATCAGGTTCTTCACGTGGACCTAGGGCAAATGACCCTGCTACATTTGCCTGGGTGCCTCCCACTCTGAAGCGGGGTGTTATATGACTCCGCAGGACCACCATGAGGATGGAAGGGGCAGTCCACGTGGCCCCTGATGCTCTGCTTGGGGGAGGAGCAGTCCTGCAGCAAAGCTGGGTGTTGGAAAGCTCAGATGGGAGTGCTCTGCCACCATCATCACGGGTGGCAAGGTCTGTGTGGAAGGGAAGGGGGATGGTTCCCAGCCTACCACTCACTAGATGAGAGACCTCTGGGACTGAGTTGCCAGACTATGTAAATAAAAATAGAAGGTCCACACTGAAAACAACTTTCAGATTAAAGATGCATAGTTTTCAAGGGTAGGTATATCCCTGTTACTGCCTGGGACACACCTATGCAAAAGAACGATTTTTAAAATGTATTTAATAAGTTACTTTTAAGTAGAGGTATGTCCTATATATGCAATATTTGATAATCACTAAAAAGCAATTTTTGTTTGTCTGAAATTCAAATTAAAGTAGGTGCTCTATACTTTGCTCAGTGATCTGAATACTGGGTTGGTCACTTAACCCTCTATACATACTTTAGCTTTCCACTCCATAGAAATGAGAACAAAAATGACTAAATATGAAGACTGAACGTCTGCATGCCTGTCAAGGAATTCACAGTGCCTACAGCAGAGAGAGGCAGAGGAACGGCTGGCTTCACTTTCATTGTTAGCAGGGCTGAGAGTCAAGGGGTCTCTTCCTCCACTCTGTCCCCAGCTTCCCTGCACCATGTCCCCGTCACTGAGGTCTTCACCTGGGTCTCACATGATTGTCCTCCAACCCACCCCATCTAGTCACCAGAGAAAAGCAAATTGCTGTTGAAGAAAAAGATGTGTAGGTCACACAGCTTCATACTGAGATCAGGGACCCATGGCCAGGGACCCATGGCCAGGTGGTTACAGGTCAAGGGCTAGGCTTGGCACGAAGGCCATGCACTCCCTCACATGAGCCTCCCCAGACTGTGCAATCTCCGACTCGCGGCTGACTTTGACAAACTCACAGGCACTTCCCATCGCCCCACAGGTCCTTTTAAAAAGACATTGAGACCCACTGGCAGACCCTCACACATGTGCAAACACAGCTTCAAACTTAGGGGAGTCCCAGACTGTTGGACACACATTTTCAGATCATGACCGGGCACACCTGGGCACACAGACACATACATCCTGACATACACTCCAGGGAAACTGAGAACCCACTTGCTCAAGCTGGACCTGTCCGTGAGTGCCCAGATCCCTCCACACACATGCAGGCACAGACATGCACACAGCCCATCTGCAGACGGACATCCTGGAACTTCAAGTCATCCTCCGAACGCAGACCCTTGGACAGCATCCCCTGTCTGCCCCTCAGGGGCGGCTCCCTGCACTGGAGCACAGCCACTGCAGAGCCCCAAGCCCATCCAAGCCCCTCACCCACAGCACTTCATAGGAGTCCTGCCTAGCCAGAACATTTCCTGAGGACTCCCAGCTCCATGCTCCCCAAAGTATCCTCAGTCTCCCCCCAAATCATCTTCTTGTGCCCCCATCAGGGAAAGGGGATAACTGGCCTCTTTGGTCCCCAACTGATCTGTCCAGCGTCCTGGAAGACTTCCTCCATCCCCCACCAGACTGGCGGTTCCCAGACCCGACCTTCCTGCTCCTAGATCCCTCCTGACCCGGCCAGGCTGCCTGTCCTGGAGGAAGCACCACGTCCTCCTTGGGCCGGTCCCCGTCTCCTCAGTCTCTTCTCTCTCCTGGTGTCCAGGGACATCAGGGGACCGAGTCGTCCCGCGGCTCAGAAACGCCTGTGAGCGGCTAGTCGCGTCGGGGGAGGCCGGGGTCCCTAACACGGCGCGGCAGTGGCTGGCTGCAGCCCTCGCCCGCCGCGGCGTTCAGCAGACACAAGCAGGGCGGCGGTCCGGACACGCCGCCACCCGTTCCCGCCGCGCCCAGCCACGGGGCCGTCCTCGGGCAGGGGGCTGTCCTTGGGGCCGGGAACTGTCCACGGGGGCTGTCCTTGGGCTGGGGGCTGTCCTTGGGGCTGGGGGCTGTCCTTGTGGCCGGGAGCTGTCCACGGGGGGCCGTCCTCTCGGTCTGGGGGCTGTCCTTGGGTCCGGGAGCTGTCCACAGGGGCCGTCCTAGGGCTGGGGGCTGTCCTTGGGGCCCGAAGCTGTCCTGGGGGCCATCCTCAGGCCAGGCCGTCCTCGGCCTGGTGCCTTCCTGAGGGACAGTGGGCTTTCCTCAGGGCGGGGGGCGTAGGGGAGGCTGTCCTCAAGACTGGGGGGCTGTCCACAGGGGCCTTCCTAGGGCCGGGGGCTACCCTGGGGGCCACCCTCAGGTTCAAGGCTGTCCTGGGGGCTGTCCTGGGTGGGTCGGGGCTGTTGTGAGGGTGGGAGAGTCTGTCTCTTGGGTCGGGAGCTGGGTCCGAGGTTGGGTGAGCTGTCTTGGGGCTGTAGTGGGGCTCGGGTCGCTCCGCGGCGCCGTGCTTTCTTGGGGGCTGACCGCCAACAAGGCCGTGCGGTCTGGACGTGAGCGACCTCAGCCTAGCCGGCACGCACGCGCACTCACAGAAGCAACACCGTCGTGCAGGCGTGCAAGCAGACTCGTGCCACGCAGGCCTGCGAGGCGGCACACACGCGTGACCACGCAGACCCGCACACCCTCATGGTCCCACGACGCCCATGCACTCGCGCACTCCGAAGGCGCACCACCACTCCAGGCGCACGCCACCAGACACACACCACCAGGCTCACCGCGGGGCGGCCCGCGCGCGTGCACTTGCTCGCGCGCGGCCCGCTCTCCCGCGCACGTCCTGCGAGGCGGTGGCGCGCGTCCGCACCCGGGCCCGTCGGGCCGTCGCCGGGCAAGACGTGCTAGCTGAGTTGCGGGACTCGCTCGCAGCGCACAGGCCGTCCGGCCGCACGCGCCGCACAAGGGACGCGGGCAGGCGCGCGGGCCCCGCCCCGCGAGGGCCCCCGCCACCCGGACCCGACTGTGGAGCCCGACGGCCGTGCCAGAAGGCCGGGCGCTCGCCCGTGGAGGACTACAAGTCCCAGAAGGCCGCGCGCCCGCCGGTGGAGGACCACAAGTCCCAGAAGGCCGCGCGCCCGGGCACCGAGGAGAGGCCGCGCGCGGGGGCCGCCGGGAGAGGGAGTCCAGGCGCGGCGCGTTCGCGTCAGGGCTCCCTGTCTGCGGGCGGCAGATGCTTTGGGTAGCTCTTTTCCGAGCGGGCTCTGACGGCACGCCGGGGCACCTGTGTGCCCATCGTCTCAGGGCGGGGTGTAGGTCCCAGCCGCTGCCGTCTCCTACGTCACCGAGGGGCGTGGCCGAGCCTAAGGGGCTGCCCGCGGTAGACAGCGCCGGGGAGC